AGAAATCTTAATTTTATTCTTAATCAATTTATAGAAAGAAAAATAGATAGTAAAGAATATACAAGATTTTTAGAGAGTCGTCTCAATATGAGATTACGTTATGTAATAAGTTATTATAATAAAAGAAAATTTACAAGAAAAATCATACATTCTATTTTTTCTAACGTTTCTCTCTTTTTATGATAATATTAGTCGCTATCACGTGCGTTGTACGAATTTTGTATTTATCGTATTTTTATTAACGTATGAATTTTAGTTTTTTTGGAAAGTTTTTAAAACAATATCTAAAAATATTTCCATGATATAAGAAAATAATTGAAAATTATTTTTACATTTGCATAACAGTATGTTATCTAGAAAAAATATGCTTGTATATTTCATACTTGAATAAAAAATATACAAACTATTTTGCTTGTATTCTTTGATAGTGTTGATATGATCGAATTGAATGTGAAAATTATATTTCTAAATTTTGTGTAATTCAATATTGTAAAATTGAAAAAAAAAAACTCTCTGTACAGTACGGAGAGAGTTGAACTAAGTGCGAAGTAAAAATAAAAAAAAGTGCGGAGAGAATTGAACCATGTGCAGAGAGTTGGCAAACTCTTCGCACAGTGCGAGGTAAAAAAAAACTCTCCACACAGGCACTGTGCGGAGAGAGTTAATCTCTTCGCACAGTGCGAAAAGTTGGTCCGCACCATGGCAAACCTTTTCGCACAGTACGTAGAGAGTTGAACCATGTGTGGAGTAAAAAAAATGCGGAGAGAAAAAAACTCTCCGCACAGTGCAGAAAGAGTTGAACCATGTATGGAGAGTTGACAAACTCTTCGCAAAGTACGGAGTAAAAAAAAACTCTCTGCATAGTGCGGAGAGATGACAAACCAGCTCTCCGCACAGTACAAAGAGAAAAAACTCTCCGCACAGTGTGGAGAGTTGTTTTCAAATTCCTTAATTATAAGTCAAATTTCAAGATTGTAAATTTGTCATATATACAACGAAATAGAGTCGAAAAACATGGCTCAAAATCAATTATGTTTTCTTTAGATTTCAGTCACAGCTCAATTTCTGAGCATGCAAATCATATTTACGGTATTAAAAATGAGCTTTCTCGTTATTCATACAATGAAACAATATGTGAGTTGTGCAAAGAAGGGGATATTGATAGTACCATGGCATTACTTTTACAAATTGAGGCTCTAGGATACCACCAAAATTCAATATTTTACACTTGCTTGATAACAGCTCTTGGACATTAGAAGCGGATACAATTTTCAATAAAATTATATTTTATTGGTTGTAGGCCAGGAATTAAAATATTCAATACATTGTTCAAAAATTATTTGAGAAAAGGCCTCTTGGAACTTGTAGATAAAGTTTTGAGAGTTTTTGTTTTTCTCTTCACACTGTGCGAAAAAATAGTTTATCATCTCTCCACACTTTACGGAGTCTTTTTTTTTTTGTCCATGTGCAGAGATTTTTTTTGTCTCATGGAGTTTATATATACTAAAATTATTTTTTTTATTATGTTGTTGGCATGATGCGTGTGTGGAAGAATATTTGTCAATCACTCTAATGTAAATTCTTTACAAAATGTAAAAAATAAAAATGCATAATAAATCTTCTTACTACGTTAATAAAATTACAATAATTTTTTTTTTACAAATAACATAAAAAATTATTTTTATTTTCAACAAAAAAACACATTTAAAAATTAGCAATTTTATAACCATTTTTTTTTTAATTCTCGAAAATACAATTATAAAAAAGAAAATAATATTGAATTACAACATTTAATACTTAAAAAATTCAATATTAAATAAATTTTATACATTTATAACAAATTATAAATCCAAATATACAGCTTACTGTATTTACAGGTAGCTTACCGTATATGTTGCCTACCGTATTTGTACCTTACCGTATATGCTGTCTACGGCATTTGCAAACAACTTACCTTATTTTCACCTTACCGTATTCGCTGCCTACTGTATTTGTAGCTTATTATATTTTTATATACCGATTTTTGTACTTACAAATACCGAAAATGCAGAACACTGTACATTCACTTACCAAATCGAATTTCAAAAAAAAAATTCCAGATTTTTATTTTTTCAGCATAAGCATAAAATAAAGCTGAAAAAAAAATATTCAATATATATGAAGCACAAAATATAAATACATATGAATATGGTGCTCAATTTTCAATTTTTCAATATTGAATTACACAAAAGTTAGAAATATAATTTTCATATTCAACTCAATCATATCAACACTATCAAAGAATACAAGCAAAATAATTTGTATAATCTTGTATATTTCTTATTCAAGTATAAAATATATAAGTATATTTTTTCTATATGACACAATACTGCTATGCAATTATAAAAATAATTTACAATTATTTTTTTATATCATGAAAATATTTCTAAATATTGCTTCAAAAACTTTCAAAAAAACTAAAATTCATACACTAATAAAATACGATAAATACAAAATTCGTGCAACGCACGTGACAGTCACTGTGTGGAGAGTTTTTTTTTTAAACTTGGTACTGTACGAAGAGTTTGCCAACTCTCCGCATTGTGCGAAGTATTTTTTTTGGGGGCTTTTTTTACTCCGTATTGTACAGAAAGTCCGCACTTTGTGAGAATAATGTTCGCACAGAATGTCATATCTTCGCACTGTGCGGAGAGTTTTTTTTTTACTTCGCACTATATTAAGAGTTTGCCAACTCTCCGCACTATGCGGAGAGTTTTTTCTTCCTTTTTTACTCCGCACTTGGTTTGTCATCTCTTCGCACTGTGCGGAGATTTTATTTATTTTTTATTTTTTAAAGCTCGTGTGCGAAGAGAGTTTTTTTTTTTGTTTTTTTTTTTTTGCTCATGTCAATTTATATTTACTAATTTTTTTTAAATGCTAGTGGCATGATATATGGAAGAACATTTGTTTGACATAATTATTTTTTTAATGCTAGTGGGATGATGTATAGAAGAACATTTATTTGACATAAACAAAATGGAAAATAAAAAATAACATCATGCATGGTAAAATTTGATTCATTTACTATTGCATGAATAGTAGACCTTCATTCCCATTTTTATTAGAAGTTAGATAAAATCATACTAATAGCTCGCTATTTATAGAGTAATATTATTTACAGTAACTTATTACCGTAATCGCCGTACGTGGCATACATGTGATGATTAGTGATTCGATGCATTAATGTGATAGCTTTTCTGCCTCATGCATCAAATCATTAATTGTCATATGTATGTCACGTCAAACGACTACGATAATGAGTTACAACAAATACCATTACTCTTAGTGAAAATTAAATTCCATAACTTAAGAATAAACACTAGATCATTAATTGTAAATAGAAAATTCTATTTTAGAAATAAAAAACATAAAAGAAAGAACATAGTTGTTCACCCTACTCATAAATTTGACACAATTATTTGACAAATAATCGCAATTTTAATTTAAGTCAATTCAGCTCACAATATTTTATGGATCTCAAATGGTTATAACAAACTCTTCCATAATTTTAGTGAAATACATACTGAACATTGAATTGGCTTAAATTAAAGGTTATGATTATTTGTCAAATAAATCTATAATCTATAATATATTAAAATATCACATTAAGAGAGAATCATTTTTCAGATGATTTTAAGCTCTCTAAAATTCAATTATTTCAATTATACTTTACTTTTCATTTTTCGATATGTAATAAATACTACATAATTATTGTAATTTATGAAATTTGTGTCATTAATTCTCAATTAACTAACATTAATATTAACCCATATTTAATGAATTTTCTTGAATTACATGAATTTAGAGTTATCATAGATGAATTTATTCATATTCATGTATCTAAAAATTTTAATGAGTGTTTAAATTTATGTATTAACAATTAATTTTTATGTATCCAATGTAATATAAAAATATTGCTCATTTATAGTATTTCATCATTACAAAAATTTGAATTGTAAAAATTGAGTTTTGAGAGTACAATTTTATTCTCTTAAATTTCTATGTTAAATTTTATTTTTTTTAATTCGTTTGAGACTCATCAAATTCTCCAATTTACATCACTTATAAAGTATTTTAAAATAACGTGCAATACACTTTCAATTTTGACTAGTATATTAAAATATCATATCAAGGGAGAATCATTTTTTAAACGATTTTAACCCCTTACAATTCAATTATTTTAATAATATCTTATTTTTTTTTGTTTTTCAATATGTATTAAATACTACACAATTATTGTCATTTATGAATTTTGTTTTATTAATTCTTAATTAATTAACATTCACATTAACTTAGATTTAATGAATTTTCATTTGATAAATCTTAAATTACATAAATCTAGAGTTATCATAGATGAATAAATTCATATTCATGTATCTAGAAATTTTAATGGGTGTTTAAATTTATGTATTAACAATTAATTTTTATGTATCAAATATAATATAAAAAGATTGTTCATTTATGATATTTCATCATTACAAAAAATTTGAATTTTGAGGATACAATTTTCTTCTATTATATTTCTATATTAAATTTTATTTTCTTTAATTCGTACGAGATTCATCAAATCCTCCAACAGATTGGTACCAAATATAACTTTTATACCACTTATAAAGTATTTTAGAATCACGTGCAATGCACCTTCAATTTTGACTAATATATCAAAAATATGAGTTGAAGGAACAGTCCATGTCAATGAAAAAGGCAAAAATTAAGGATCAGGATACACGCACATAATTTTTTACCTACTACACACAACATGGGTGGAGACGATGGATCGAAATTTTTAATAACACACTTGGCCTGCGTGTTTGCGCGTGTCTGGGAGCGCTTAAGAGCAGAATTTCGACTGTTGACAGTGAATTTTCTACCGTTAAAGACTGGCTTAAGAAAGTTTTTTTATATAAGGAAATAAAATATTGTTCTTCTCGACAAAAGATTAAACGGAAAGTACAGGTTGTGGATTGGACAGGCTTATCTGTTTTAAGGAAAAATATTTAAAATCCTTAATCACCACAAAATTTCACTAATCTCTGGCAAGTCAATTCTTAGGTATTAATCCCACCGTTAATTCATACCATTCTAATCCTTTTCAACTTTCTTTCCTGAACACACGGAATAAATGATTGTACATTCACTTGGCTATATCATACATGAGATCTGCAAGTTGAAACTTGGCGTTTAGGACAGAGAAACAAACAAAAAGACCCTATTTCTGAGCTGCTGCATGTACGAGAAAACTGAACAATCTAAGCTAAAGCAGATGGAAATTGTGGGACAGTTGCAGAAACAATATGTTGACTTCACAACTTCTCTGTTTCGTGAGGTAATTACTTCTTTTATGATAATTTTTCTTCTTTTTTTTTCCTCAAGAACTTTTTATTAAAGATTTTCAAGTGGGCTGTTTTTATTTGTTCAATTTGACATTTTTTTTACATGGGTTTTTCTATTTTTGTGTTAAAAAAAGGGATATTTGGACGATCAGTATGTACAGCTGCAAAAATTAAAAGATGAAAGCAATCCAGAATTTGTGGTTGAAGTGGTTTCAATTTTCTTTGAGGATTCTGAAAAACTTCTGAATGATTTGGCTTGTTCTCTGTCAGTTTCAATTTCTCTACTTTGGGTTTTATTTTGTGTTCCAGATTTATTAATTGATTTTAATTTTTTTTCCTTTTTCTTAATTTTATTTCAACTATATAGTCAACAGCAGGTTGTAGATTTTAAGAAGGTTGATGGCTATGTCCACCAGTTCAAGGGTAGCAGCTCCAGGTATCAGTTTTTAATTCTGCATATTTAGTGGAAGAATAAGCTATTTCTTTGGTAATTTTTGCTTGATATTTTTTACTGTTTCATTAACTAAATTCCAGAATTTTGATACTTTGTGGTTTAATTTACTCATTTTAAGTTATTTACATATGCAATAATGCCAAGTAGCCAATAAGAAAGCTAGTGTTTTGTTAAGAGGAAGTACATTAAGATCTGGATGAGGTTTTAATTGGCAGTGAATAATTTGGTCAGAAAATTAATTTTTTGTTTTGAGTTTTTCTTCTTTGTAAATTTTGTCTGTGTTTTGTTGACATAACAGCGTAGGTGCACAAAGAGTTAAGAATGCGTGTGCTGCCTTCAGAAACTTTTGTGAGGATAAGAATCTTGACGGGTGAGTCGACTGAATTCATAATTGTGTTCCGTACTTTCACTTCATAGACGTTTATATAAGTGCTATTTGGAGTAAGCATTATGAAATAATTAATCTGTAAGGCTCGGCTGGTCTCTATGATATGACATAAATTTTCACTGCCATGTTCTCTTTGTATTATTTTGGATGCTTAGTTGGAAAATTGCAGTGTTCACTTAATATGAACTTGGAAGTGGCCATAAGTTTTATTGAGTTGCACTGAAAATGGAACATGGCACTTGGTATTTTGAAAATTCTTCAATATTTAGTTCTAACAAGAAAAATGTACATACTAAAAGCATCAAATCCCATTTGCAGTGCTAAACCGCGTCCGCGAATCAGAAAAGATCAAAGTTTATCAATTACACAAAATCATGACTTCTAAAACCTCCGGAAGGAACTGGATCAACAGTGTCCATTTTGAGTCAACTCTTTTTCATCTGAATCAAAATGGTAAATTTCATATAGTTCAAACTAAGAAAATTGAAGAGTGCGTGGAACTGGATGAAAACAGAACTTTTGGATACGCATTGAGACTATTTAAAACCGTTGTATTATTTTGATCGATTTTGGTTGTTTGTGATTAAGCCTTTCTAAACATTGATTGTGATTATCAAATATGGAAATAGTCGTGATGTGTTTTCCTAGTTACTTCAATTTTCACCACTCACAATTATAGTCAGCAAATTAAAATTATTGGGGGTAGAGATGTACGATATCATTTTATTTTGTCTCCAACCTTTTTCGTGTCTATAGGAGACTCCAAGCATGTTCGGCAGAGCTTAAAAGCAAGTAAAAGTTACTCTTATGTTAAGCTTTTTTGCCAAACGTATCTGGATATGTTACATTTTCCTTTCTTTTAAGTACAAAAACTTATTTGTTTGGAAAGAAACTCTTGCTTTACTTGCAAAATAAGTAATTTATTTCCTACGTTAACCAATAAAAAAACTCATTTATTTTAAAAATCCACTTATTTACTTATAAGTGAACTTTTTAATCTTAGCCAAACATGCTTTTATGATAGCATAGTTATATTCCTGACAGTTTTTTTCTGAAACAACACAATCGGTGCTTAGAAATCATTTCTCATATTGTAGAATGTTGTATTGGCTAAACAAAGGAATTTTGATGCAGGTGCTTGAGATATCTCAACTTGGTAAAACAAGAATTCTATCTCGTGAAGAGCAAGCTGGAAACTTTGTCAAGGGTAAGTATTACTTCATGGTGAACTTTTTTTTATATATCTAAAATGAATTCATTCTGAAAGTTAAACCATAAATTATAAGCAAATTTAACAATAATAAACCGGAATTTGTCAATCGCGGTTATTCAAGCATCTGCATACAAAATTAGTATGATATATAGAAAAGGAGTCTTGTGTAGGTTAAGTCGTTACAGAAGTATCGATAAACTTAAAGAAAGAAGTCGAGATAAGAATCATTCAATGGATGGCGATATTATTACCTTACAGTCTTTGTTTTTTTGAGTCTTGATAAAAGTTGAGGGGTTGCCTTGTCAACTTAAAGCCAGATGCTGCTCAAACAATTTTCAAGGTTTTCCTGGTCTGTCTAGTCCAGTATTGATAATTTATCCACATGTTTGACCAAGGAGGTTTTCGAATCTGCTTTTGAACTTACCTGTGTTAAATGCAGCTGGAGCGGCAAATCCTGCAGGCAGGAGGGACGGTTCCCTTAATAGAATCATGCCATTGATATTGCCCTGCTATGGAAACAGTAGGTTGAAAGCCACGAGTTAGAATGCTTTTTCTTATTATTTAGCTACTTTGGCTGCTAGATTCTGTTATATGTAATGTAGCTCTAAAAATTGCACATATGGAATGTCAGAAGATAAGTAGTGTCGGCCGAGCAGAGTGTCTTGCCTAGTCTCTTTGCATTTTACCTCATCTACATTTCATTGTTTGCTCACAAATTACTTACATCTAGTTGTTATTTGTTAATCTTGTTTTCTCTTAATTGGTCTTTTCTTCATTTTATAACCCGAGTTTTAGTTTTTCATTTCCTTTCTTCGCCCCTGGTTAAGGGATGAGATCAATGGTCTAGCTACATGGCACTGAAAATGTATCGCAGTGTGAATAAGTCGATAGAGTCCGACAGTTCTACCAGTATATCAAAATTTTGTAATTTTCAGTTATAGTTAATTACATTTTATTACATTAATTGTCCTCTTGACTATTTCTTGTGAATGTTCTTAGTATTTTCATTCTTCATATCGACTTTTGCAAGCATTGCCTAAAGTCCCAGCAAGCAAACATATTAATGACGAGGAGGACATTTTTGTTATGCTACTGATACTTGTACTTGCTTTGCTATTTTGCCCAAGTCTGAGGAAGAGTTACAAATCGTAAAACAATTTGTAATGATTTCATCATTCATGATAAATAATAAATAAAGTGTCATTCCAATGACACACGTCCAAGTTCCATAACTCAGCTATCTCAATCATGATTTTTAACCCCCCGAGGGAAAGATACTTCCCTTTTGGGTCGGTTGTAGGTGAGGAGGAATTCAAACCCTTGATACAATGGTTTGTAGTCATGTGTTCTAATCCTTTGAGCTACAAGCTTCAACCCATCTTTTTTGGTACTGCTGTCAAGAGTATCCTAAAAAAAAAGGAACATTTCCTCTCCCCTCACTAAACATGTTATTTCAATTTAAAAAGATGTGAAATCGCGTTTATCCTATAAGAATGGTGCTTTCCGAAGTCTAAGTGTGAGAGAAGGAATATCATAATTGGTTTTGAATAAGTCGACCTTTTGATTTTTAATTTTTTTCGTCAATAAATGAATAAGAATGAGAGGTGCTAAGCTTTTTATAATCATGGTATCAAGCTATTTTTTCGTAGGACTTCCCTATAGTACATCATCACAGTAGAGTTTAACCAACTTTACAATTTTTAATTAAAGTTAATACTAATAATAATAATAAATAAATAAATATATAATTCAGAGCAATGAAAAGCATTACATATGGCTGGACGAAGAGACAACATAACTAAAATATATAAATGCACACACGACAATATTTTTAATTTTTTATTATTATTATTATTTTTTTTTTTGGGAGGAGAAGAAAAAGTATACTTCTAAGTGTAACTCGATAGTACCGGATGAATCTAGAATTAATCTAATAAGGATAATCTGCGACTGCGAGAAAACATCTCTAAGAACAAATATTATGCACGACAGAAATGGTGGTAACTACTAAAAGTGTATAAATAATTAGCTGACCTTATAAGGCGTGTTCGGCGTTTCTCGGGAAAAAAAAAAAAAAAAAAAAACTATTTTTCCACCTCTGCAAATAATGAGAGGCTAGGAAGGTTGTTGGGGCTGGTGAAATAAAAAAACACATCCTTCTGCAATTACTCCATCAATAGCACCATTTTTAGTAGTGAATTATCTAAATGTTCACTGAACTTTACAAAAAGTTTGTACGGAATCATTGAACTTTAAAAAGTACCAAATTCATTCAGTGATCCCGTAAAAACCTTTTACAAATTCAGTGATGAGTTGAGTGATTTTTAAAGTTTAGTGACTCCGTGGAAGCATTTTACAAAGTTTAGTAATTATTTGGATAATTCACTCACTATTTGAGGGGGTTGGCATTCTTTCCTATAGGACTTATCATATCTACACAACCCAAATGCTAAAGCAATATGATTACTCCAATTTGGGCTTAAATCAAAATGTAATTGATAGAAACTCTCTACAAAATAAACGTCACTATAAAATTCTTGAATTGTGCAAATCTCAATTAAGGTTGGAAGCAAGTTAAAAAGGGTCTGGAGATCGATTATAAAAACTATAAAAGGATTGATATAAAAAATATTAATGAATAAACAATTTGTAATTGTAGTCGACTTGTTCTCAATTGATCATAACATATACAATTCTTCTAATTAAATTCAAGTAGACGGTCATACCTATTCCTACGAGTCTTCATAGGGTTATTATCGCTATTTATGTGCGGGAGCCTGTGCAATCTATTCATAATCAAGCTGAAACTTGGGCGAAACTCAATGAAGGTTTGAACCGATTTTTATGAGATGAATTAGTGTGTTTAGTGGGGATTAAAATTAGATTTTGTTTAGTAGTTTGTGATTAGGAATGGCAACGTGGCGGGTATGGAACAGGTCGGCCATTGCCACCCCCGTCCCATCTGGTATTTTTGTTATCTTATCCTATACCCATATCCAGTTAAAGCGGGACGGGACGGGGCAAGTCTCCTGCCCCATTTTTTTCTTTTTATTTTTTTATTTTTTGCTTTTATTTTTTTGTCCTTAATTAGTAAATAATATTACTTTTTTACTAATTTGTTAAAAAACTTATGTTCTCTTTAAAAAGAATGATGAATTTATTATTTTTGTTTGATAAAAACTTAAATTTGAAATTAATATTAAATTGGGTGGGTAATGGTTTTCCGTACCCATCTTATACCCGCTTCGAGGCAATAACTCTCACCTCATACTCATAACATGTATCCGATTAGGCGAGTATTACCTGTTCCATTCGTGGTGAGGCTCCACGAGTATTGGGTTGAACGAATTTTTTTGTCATCTCTAATTGTGATAAGAGTTTTTGGAATGTATGGTTAAAAAATTGTGGGAGCCATAAAAAATGTGATTGATATTGATTGTTTGATTTTGACTTAAATTAAAATCAAATTTTAATCTAAATCAAACAGGCTCTGAAATATCACTCAAATTCAGAATTGACTTCTTGTTGACGTGCAATAATTGACTATGCCCTAGCAATTTTAATCCAAAAATTTGATTTTTTGACCGTTATTTTACTATTCCAATCGTTATTTTTGACATCTTCACTCACAGGTGAAATCAACTTTTCTCTCTAACGATCAAAAAATTAATTCTCATAATCAGTATCAAACAAGTCTTATATTTGAGACAAATGGGAGTAGTAGTTTGGACGCGAAAGCACTAAAACTTGATCGTACCACCAGGCTTCAGCTGTCACCATTTCGTCCCAAACTGCCTTTTTTCTCTTCCCACTTTGCCCTTCTTTGACCTCTTACGTGGTATCAATATAGTACAGTTACAAATCACTCAACTTTCAATCAAAATTTCAATAATTCAATAAAAAAAATATTTATTTATAAAAAATATGGGGTGGCAACAACTAAATGTCACGGTGTCCTTGTCTAAGGTCGTCTCCAATGGTGCATCAAAATCAAAATTTGATGCAAAAGCACTTCAATGTGGCACTAAAGTTTGCACCATTTTAGTGCAAATGCTGCAAAGTCATATTTGCCCCTTTTTCCATTTGTTAGTGATTGATGAAGGATATTCGGGTCATTTGTGTTATATATTTTCTAATACATTATTATTATTATTATTATTATTATTATTATTATTTAAAATAAATTTTAAATGTAAGAAATAATAATTAAGGAATTAATTAAAATAAGGATAAAGAGGCTCACATTGCACTTTGAAACGCATTAATCGATCATTTGTGGAAAGAATATACGAATTTTGAGAATTAAATTGCAATAATATTTTGACTTCGTAATAACATAATATCCAAATTCAAAATGTATTGCACTTTTTTTAAAGACATTATTTAATATTTTCATTTTTTTTTAGTATTTCTACTAATTGTAATATGTTTTCTATATTTATTAATTAATTTAATATTTTAATTATTTATTTAGTAATTTTTGTATTTGTAAAACAAATAAATAAATTATCTGGAATAAAAAAAGAAAATAAAATGATTAAAAATGTACATTTGGTGTAAATTTTGATATAATGGTTGGATATGATTTGTAGTTTGGTGCAAATTTTGATGTAAATTTTGGTGTAGAGTTGAAAATGGCACTGTGAAATCCAAACCCAACAATCTCCTGCGCCAAAAACCTCAGACTCGGACAACAGTTTATCCAACAGAACCTCCCTTGATAAACAAACTAAATCCCATATTACACTCTTTGTACTTGCCGCAGTCATTGCATTCTCAATTTTCTCTTCCTTCTCCCACAAGCCCAACATCAAGAAAATCGATGCAATTCTCTTGATTTTTCAAACTTCCATTTATAATCCCTTTTGTATATATAAATTTTTTTCTATCAATTACACCCCTAAAATGTGGTGTCCATTGAGGACAAGGAAAGATTATACGTTAATATATTGGATTCATCTCATTTTCGTCAATTGGGAAAGTAATTTTCCGCTGGGTACAGTGTTGGACCCCATTGATTTCATGGCATTGCAGTCGATCCGGAAGAGTTTGGATGATTTGCCCGGGTCGAATTTATTTTGCTTCGTGGGATTTCACTGCGGATCCATGCAATTTTGCTGGTGTGTATTGTGATGGAGATAGAGTGATTGCTCTGAACCTTGGTGATCTACTAGCTGGGTCTACAGGTTTAACGGGTTGGATAGACCCGGCGATTGAAAAACTGTCAGCTCTTACAGAGTTTATTATAGTTCCAGGTCGAATCATCAGCTCTCTGCCTCAAACTCTGTCTCAGTTGAAAAATCTCAGGTTTCTTGCCGTCAGCAGGAACTTCATCTCCGGTGGTATTTCGGCGACTATGGGCGAGCTTTGAGGATACAAACGCTTGATCTTAGCTTCAATCAGTTTTTCGGTAGCATTCCATGGTCCAACGGTGCTCTACCGTCTTTGTCAAATGTCATTCTATGTCACAACAAGCTGTCCGGTTTAGTCCCGCCGTTTGTTTCCCAAACCCTAACCTGGCTCGATCTCAAGCACAAAACGATCACTCCAGTTCCATTTCCCCATTGAGCCCACCCCCACGACTCCAGTACCTCTCATTATCATGGAACAGACTGAGTGGCCCAGTTGACCGGCTGTTGAGCCGTCTGGGCCAGCTAAGCTACCTTGACCTCAGTATAAACCAGTTCACCGACTCCATTTCGGGCAACTTATTCACATTCCCACTCACCAACCTGTTGAGAATTTACTTAAACATGTATAGCAAAAATAAATACAGATTTCAATTCTCGCCAATGATCTCTGTTTTGCGCGGGTAGTCGTTAACAATTAAAAAAGGGATCAGACGATTGTGTAAGGAACAGACCTCTTGAAACAAAATCTCAAAAATGGGTGTTTTATTGGTGAGGATTTACAATTGAAAATAAACTGAATGCCTCCAAGGGGCGCAAGCACACGAGTACTAAAAGAAGTGTTTAAATTTAAGTTAAGAAATTAAAATTATATATTCTCTGTTTGAGAGTGTTTGATTCTTTTCTTCCTCTATATCTTCTCTTTCTTTTTATATTTCCTTGATGATTTTCTCGTGACAAATCGCTTGAAAACTGTTTGATCGCTTTATAACTATCCACTTTCTTTATGGTGGCTAACTTATTGTGGAACTGCCGTCTCTAACTGCTGCCATTACTCTTTGTCGTTCAACCGCCTTCCACTGGACTCCTTGAATCGTGGAATGTGATAAGATTACTCAATAACTGCTATTGTGGATAACTATCATATTTTATGTTTGCTAAGATCCTGGGCGATTTGAAGGTTTGGGCGAGAACGGGGTTATCGCTCCAGGTGACCGTAAGGCACTCCATTCACTCAGATTTTGGGCGTCTTGCAAGTTTGGGCGATGATGTTACTGTATTCGTGAGCTTCCACTGCATTTATCAATAATCTTGTTTGGACCTTTATCCTGAACCTTTAAATTGGAAATCTACTACCTCCTTTATTAGGTTCTTTAAGGAACCTATTAATCTCCGCCCTCCAATCTATTGCATCTCCATCTTGTATGCAATAAATTTCAATTCTTCTCGCCCTTCTTTGGACCACAGATAATATTACTCCATATTCACAAGTAGATTTTCAATTTAAAGCCTTTGAATACCCTGAAGCCATCTGGGCCAACTCATTTGCTCTGTCATTATATACCCTATTAACACATTGAAACTCTACTTGGTCGAATTCTTCCAACAATTCTTGGGCGATTTCATATTGACTTATGATGGAATCACTTTGGCACTTAAAATCACCGATCAATTGGTGAATTACCAATTGAGAATCGCCTCTAACAATCACATTCTTTATCTCCATATCTATCATTAATTCTAAACCCACGATTAAAGCTTCATATTCGACTTGATTGTTGGTGCACATCCTATCCAAAGTGAATGCGAACATAAATTTTCACTGCCATGTTCTCTTTGTATTATTTTGGATGCTTAGTTGGAAAATTGCAATGTTCACTTAATATGAACTTGGAAGTGGCCATATGTTTTATTGAGTTGCACTGAAAATGGATCATGGCATTTGGTTTTTAGAAAAATCTTCAATATTTAGTTCTATCAAGAAGAAAAATGTCCATACTAAAAGCATCAAATCCCATTTGCAGTGCTAAACCATGTCCGCGAAGCAGAAAAGATCAAAGTTTAGCAATTACACAAAATCATGACTTCTAAAACCTCCGGAAGGAACTGGATCAACAGTGTCCATTTTGAGTCAACTCTTTTTCATCTGAATCAAAATGGTAAATTTCATATAGTTCAAACTAAGAAAATTGAAGAGTGCGTGGAACTGGATGAAAACAGAACTTTTGGATACGCATTGAGACTATTTAAAACCGTTGTATTATTTTGATCGATTTTGGTTGTTTGTGATTAAGCCTTTCTAAACATTGATTGTGATTATCAAATATGGAAATAGTCGTGATGTGTTTTCCTAGTTACTTCAATTTTCACCACTCACAATTATAGTCAGCAAATTAAAATTATTGGGGGTAGAGATGTACGATATCATTTTATTTTGTCTCCAACCTTTTTCGTGTCTATAGGAGACTCCAAGCATGTTCGGCAGAGCTTAAAAGCAAGTAAAAGTTACTCTTATGTTAAGCTTTTTTGCCAAACGTATCTGGATATGTTACATTTTCCTTTCTTTTAAGTACAAAAACTTATTTGTTTGGAAAGAAACTCTTGCTTTACTTGCAAAATAAGTAATTTATTTCCTACTTTAACCAATAAAAAAACTCATTTATTTTAAAAATCCACTTATTTACTTATAAGTGAACTTTTTAATCTTAGCCAAACATGCTTTTATGATAGCATAGTTATATTCCTGACAGTTTTTTTCTGAAACAACACAATCGGTGCTTAGAAATCATTTCTCATATTGTAGAATGTTGTATTGGCTAAACAAAGGAATTTTGATGCAGGTGCTTGAGATATCTCAACTTGGTAAAACAAGAATTCTATCTCGTGAAGAGCAAGCTGGAAACTTTGTCAAGGGTAAGTATTACTTCATGGTGAACTTTTTTTTATATATCTAAAATGAATTCATTCTGAAAGTTAAACCATAAATTAGAAGCAAATTTAACAATAATAAACCGGAATTTGTCAATCGCGGTTATTCAAGCATCTGCATACAAAATTAGTATGATATATAGAAAAGGAGTCTTGTGTAGGTTAAGTCGTTACAGAAGTATCGATAAACTTAAAGAAAGAAGTCGAGATAAGAATAATTCAATGGATGGTGATATTATTACCTTACAGTCTTTGGTTTTTTGAGTCTTGATAAAAGTTGAGGGGTTGCCTTGTCAACTTAAAGCCAGATGCTGCTCAAACAATTTTCAAGGTTTTCCTGGTCTGTCTAGTCCAGTATTGATAATTTATCCACATGTTTGACCAAGGAGGTTTTCGAATCTGCTTTTGAACTTACCTGTGTTAAATGCAGCTGGAGCGGCAAATCCTGCAGGCCGGAGGGACGGTTCCCTTAATAGAATCATGCCATTGATATTGCCCTGCTATGGAAACAATAGGTCGAAAGCCAACGAGTTAGAATGCTTTTTCTTATTATTTAGCTACTTTGGCTGCTAGATTCTGTTTATGTAATGTAGCTCTAAAAATTGCACATATGGAATGTCAGAAGATCAGTAGTGTCGGCCAAGCAGAGTGTCTTGCCTAGTCTCTGTGCATTTTACCTCATCTACATTTCATTGTTTGCTCACAAATTTCTTACCTCTAGTTGTTGTTATTTGTTAATCTTGTTTTCTCTTAATTGGTCTTTTCTTCATTTTATAACCCGAGTTTTAGTTTTTCATTTCCTTTCTTCGCCCCTGGTTAAGGGATGAGATCAATGGTCTAGCTACATGGCACTGAAAATGTATCGCAGTGTGAATAAGTCGATAGAGTCCGACAGTTCTACCAGTATATCAAAATTTTGTAATTTTCAGTTATAGTTAATTACATTTTATTACATTAATTGTCCTCTTGACTATTTCTTGTGAATGTTCTTAGTATTTTCATTCTTCATATCGACTTTTGCAAGCATTGCCTAAAGTCCCAGCAAGCAAACATATTAATGACGAGGAGGACATTTTTGTTATGCTACTGATACTTGTACTTGCTTTGCTATTTTGCCCAAGTCTGAGGAAGAGTTACAAATCGTAAAACAATTTGTAATGATTTCATCATTCATGATAAATAATAAATAAAGTGTCATTCCAATGACACACGTCCAAGTTCCATAACTCAGCTATCTCAATCATGATTTTTAACCCCCCGAGGGAAAGATACTTCCCTTTTGGGTCGGTTGTAGGTGAGGAGGAATTCAAACCCTTGATACAATGGTTTGTAGTCATGTGTTCTAATCCTTTGAGCTACAAGCTTCAACCCATCTTTTTTGGACATGTTGTCAAGAGTATACTAAAAAAAAAAAGAACATTTCCTCTCCCCTCACTGAACATGTTATTTCAATTTAAAAAGATGTGAAATCATGTTTATCCTATAAGAATGGTGCTTTCTGAAGTCTAAGTGTGAGAGAAGGAATATCATAATTGGTTTTGAATAAGTCGACCTTTTGATTTTTAATTTTTTTCGTCAATAAATGAATAAGAATGAGAGGTGCTAAGCTTTTTATAATCATGGTATCAAGCTATTTTTTCGTAGGACTTCCCTATAGTACATCATCACAGTAGAGTTTAACCAACTTTACAATTTTTAATTAAAGTTAATACTAATAATAATAATAAATAAATAAATATATAATTCAGAGCAATGAAAAGCATTACATATGGCTGGACGAAGAGACAACATAACTAAAATATATAAATGCACACACGACAATATTTTTAATTTTTTATTATTATTATTATTTTTTTTTTTGGGAGGAGAAGAAAAAGTATACTTCTAAGTGTAACTCGATAGTACCGGATGAATCTAGAATTAATCTAATAAGGATAATCTGCGACTGCGAGAAAACATCTCTAAGAACAAATATTATGCACGACAGAAATGGTGGTAACTACTAAAAGTGTATAAATAATTAGCTGACCTCATAAGGCGTGTTCGGCGTTTCTCGGGAAAAAAAAAACTGTTTTTCCACCTCTGCAAATAATGAGAGGCTAGGAAGGTTGTTGGGGCTGATGAAATAAAAAAACACATCCTTCTGCAATTACTCCATCAATAGGACCATTTTGAGTAGTGAATTACCCAAATGGTCACTGAACTTTACAAAAAGTTTGTACGGAATCATTGAACTTTAAAAATCACCAAATTCATTCAGTGATCCCGTGAAAACCTTTTACAAATTCAGTGATGAATTGGGTGATTTTTAAAGTTCAGTGATGAATTGAATGATTTTTAAAATTTAGTGACTCCGTGGAAGCATTTTACAAAATTTAGTAATTATTTGGATAATTCACTCACTATTTGAGGGGGTTGGCATTCTTTCCTATAGGACTTATCATATCTACACAACCC